AAAAAATGCACATAGTAGATTCTCTATTAAACATTTTCTTTTAATTTCCAGAATTTACAGGTTGTCGAAGAGATCCGACAAAATTTCCTGTTGGATCAAGGAATAGGAGTTATTTCCCTTTACTTGTTTACGGAAGAGAGCTAGCACCTCGAAAAGAGAGTGCCAATAAAATCCTAGCATAGCAGATTGCAAAAGGGGAGGGGTTCCCAATCTCAACCTTTTTTCTGTGAAAAGTACTTTTGCCTACCGTTGAATTTGTAAGCATATTTTGATCTGTATTTTGACCCCCCCCCCCTTTTTGCTTTTTTTTTTTTTTACTTCAAAAGGTTGAAACTACACAATTTATGTGCTACCGATTTTTTTTTTTTTTTTTTTTGCTGAAAAGGATAGTCTCAGCCCCCCAACCCCCACTCTTTAACGATTTAAGAAGATTGTCGTGAGAATCTGAGTTTCTCAACCCCCTCTTTGTTTCATTTCTCTTTTTGGCTTTTCATTTTTTTCAAACAGGTATACATGAGAAATGATAATAGTGTACCCTGAAATCTGAAAGGACTGTTCGTCCAAATCATACACCCCCCCCCCCGATTATCAACAATATAAGTATTGCAGATTCATGCGTGCAGACGAAGTAGAATAAAATAATATTAGCACGAAATTGATCTTATTTTAAATTCTGATCTTTGGCTGTTGCAGGTCCGGAACTCTACCTAAATATGTATTGCCTCGCTGCATAAATTAATCGACTGGCGATATAGTTTTATTCATGTCTCTGATTTAAGTATCGGTTACACTGAACAGTTCGAAAAGTAATAGCAGATGCCTTTCTCACCGTGGAACCTATATTTCTCTTTAAAATTCAATGAGCTGTAGAAATAGGGAAAAGACATGCATTCATATACAGAGTTATAAGACACCTGCTTATATATTTATTTTTTTTTCATAATATTCCAAAAAATTATTGCATGCATGTGAACAGAAAATTCAAACCATGAATTTATTCGTGGTACACATTAGATTGATTCATCTAGCTTTGGGGTACAATTGAGAGAGAGAGAGAGAGAGAGAGAGAGTGTGTCAATCCTGATAAATATGACAATATAAGTACTTGATTGATTGGTGTCAGTACTGATAAGACAGAAGTAGCGATAGGAGTTTTCAACAGATATGTAAACCATCCACAAGTATTACCTATCTCGAATGACAGGCTATCTTAATAGTTGTTCATAATACACAGATATATTCACGAAATTTTCAAATGTCTGAAGGGGAAGATTGTAATCAGAACCTACATGTCCAAGTAAATATAACTGTCCAATCTCCAGAGGTTTCAAGTGCTGTGAATTTTACGGACGTCTGAGATTATCACTGAAAAATATATATGTACCCCCCCCCCCCCTTTTATCTGTCGAACAATGTGAATTTTCATATGTGAACGGAAGGAAATTATATTTTGAAAAAAAAATCGATAAAGGAAACTACTGATGAACAATCTAACGGATGTGTATTTTGATCAATATTCATGCATGTATTTGAATAGCGATTGCAAAATTTATTTGAATACGCGAATCTATACAGTTAGATAAAGCGAATTTATATAGTAAGATAAGAAATATTCCAGTGTACTTTAATCTTTGTTTCCAAAAAATGATCAAGTGCAAACTTTCACTTTATATTCGTTGTATGAAGTATTCCTTTCTTTGTAGGTAAAAACGTTGACATTTTCCTAAAATTGAAAGTGTCACTTAAATATTATCCATTTTATCGTAGATTATATTCTCCGTACAACCAACACAAGAAATTAAACAAAAACGAGATAAAATAGTTTACAGTTATCGTTCGACGTTTCTTTTCGGAGTTAAAAAAATGTTTAAACATCTTAATCAAACCAAGATTTTACAAACAGTATATTCATTTTGGTTTTATCGTAAATAGTTGTATATTTTGCACATATATATGGAAAAAGCAAATGAGTGGTTTTATTGATTATCACAACATTTTTTATGGACACAGTGCCTATTATATGACATTGTTGTAAGAAAATGAAAATTTCCCCGATACACGATCATTATACCCCCCGCTTGTAAAGTGGGAGGGTATATAGTGATCGGGGTGTCCGTCTTTCCGTCCAGCTGTCTGTACGTCCGTCCGTCCGTCTGTTACGCTTTGGGGTGCTTATCTCTTATCTGCAACTCCTCTTATACCACTGAATGAAATTTAATGAGACTTTCACAGAATCTTTGTTACATAGTGCCATTGTGCACCTCCTGTTTTACTTTTTGATCCGACACTTATTTCGGGTCTCCCGTAGCAAAACATGGACTTTGCCATTATAATCATATGGGAGGTGGGGAGTATCATTTAGTGAGCTCAGTGCTCACAGTACCTCTAGTTTTTATTCTGATCAATCAAAACTGATTAAAGAAATAAGGCATAAAATTTCATTATACATGTAGAGGGGATGCGGTGCGTATTCTACACAAAAATAGATATATATCACATCAACCTGCATCTTTCAAGCAAATTAAACAAAAATCTTTTTATTATTAACCGATTCGATTAGTCATTTCCAACAAATCTGAACAAACAATTATTCCAGTAGGTGGTTGAACAATGTGCACAAAATATTTTATTTTCATTTCAAAGATAAACATGTATATAACTTGCTATTTTCAGACTTTTATCAAATAAAGCATAAAAGGTGATATGCTTCGCCGAGCATAAGTGAAAATTCGTGTAATTCATGGGTGGATCAAGGTGATTTTGAAAACTTGCCATTTAGCTCTTCAGTGATAAAATTATTGATAAAATCTTGCCGATATTGGCGATAACTTCGTTCGTAAGAAGACAGCACTTCAATAGGTGTGGACTTGTTAATGACGAACGAACTTGACGTGCCTTGTTCTGTACACAGAATTTTTTTTAAGTCCTCCCTTTAAATGTTTCTTTTCCTTAAAGTTTTAAAGACTTCGTCACTTTTGCTATGCAATGTTATTAAAAAAACAAACAAATAAATAAAGAACTGTTATATTTGTGTAATTAAATGAATAGTTTTTTTCTCATGAAAATAACTCCCATTCCATTCTTAATTATGTATAAGCATTCCTGAATAAAAGAAGAACAAACAATTGACACATTGTAGAAGTACCATTAAACATAAGTATACATTTTCACTTCTTTTTGGGAAATTTAAGATCTGAAAATGCTTAAACAAGTTGATACCTGACACCTGGTGTGCATGATGAATAGTGCACAACAGGACCTCTTTAGACACTTAGTCTCTAAATAAGAAAAAGGACACGTAAACATACATTTTGAGTATGTTAAATAGGTCGCAAAATGAGGATTCTTGTGTCACTTGAGTAAATAGAACACAATATCTATCACGGTCGCTAGACAATACACTGCATGTTTTTATTCTTAAACTATGATTATCTCTAACAGATGACATTGACAAATCGTAAATCGCAAAATCGTAAGACCAGTTAGCATATGCATATATACACACTCTAACTAAAACATGTATAGGTAACCTAAAATTAAATAACCTAAAAATTTAAGGAACGGATCAAAAGACAGTAGGGTGGATTTCCAAAAAGCAGCTAATGTGTCCACAAAAGCAAACTAAACCTCATCTAAATGTTTCATTAATAGAAGTAATTACATGTATTAGGATTCATTGTAAATACAGTCTTAATCATGTATAATGTTATAATTCATAGTAATCTCATCCATAATTAGATTCATATGCCAGCATGCATGAAATATGAGTAAATCTCGGCACTGTTAAACATTTTCAGTACATTTATATATGTAAATAATGCTGTAATAAAAGTGTCATATAGAAGTTTACTCTTTTTTTTTTTTATAACATACAAACATTCTGTACTATACGAAGGCGGATCTAATATAGAACAAACATGGGTAACACAGAAAAAAGCTTATTACATGTAAATATAAAAGCCTAAGTTTCCATTATATAGTTTGACTTCAAAGAATTTTAAAATAAGCGTGATTTTTGTTCGAGATCTGTATCCGCTCATGACTTAAAAAATGAGACAATATGTCCTAGAGATTTCAAAATAGCAGTCTACAAATACTTCTTTTCTTACTTCAAACAAAAGTGAATGCTGAACATACAAACAATACAATGTGTAATAAAATGTATATATTGCGCGTGCTGGCACGCACATGCACACACACACAAAAGGGGGGAGGGGGCGTGTCCCCCAGAATGTTGCCAGTATGTATAGAACAGAAAACCAACGCTTATTTACAGTAGTGTCCCAAGTTATTTTGCCATTTCATACTGTACTATACAAAATCATTCCTAATTTATGATTTACGATTGTGTCCTCTCAGTAATATTAATGTCTGATGGTCTTTGTTTTCTTTGGTAAGTTTTAGCCCCCCCCCCCCTCCTCTCCCCACGTTTCCTACGTGGCTACACAACCACATGTAACATATTACTGAATACAATAGACGTTTTTAGCAACTAGAGAGATTACAAGGGTCTGGTACTTCATCGATCCATTATTAACCCTTCTCTCTTTTTATTCTACGTACATTCAAACATATTTTATTCAAATTTTTCCATAATTTTCTAAATACATTTTTCTTCTGTGTGTATATATTTCATCTTATCTACATTGTGTAAAACTTATATTTAGACGACAAGAAGATGAATTTTCTTATTGCTAATATAATTTCATATTCAAGATGGCGATACGTGGCTCACGTCCAAAAAGTACAGACAAACCCATTTTTATGTCATCACATGACCGACTGATTTCCTCCTTGGATACCCGTTTCCAAACAAAAGACAGAAAAAAATTTCCCCTCTGCATTTTTCCTCGGATGACTATGATCTAATTTTATGAAAAGTGCAAAGTGGGCCGGGCTACAAGACAGCCATTGAACTCTAGCACCTGCCTAATTACGGCCATTTTTCCTCCCATATAAAAATAATTTTTGTAGAAAAAGATATAAAAAGCCAGACTTACCGTGGAATAGATAGATTCCGTGTTAATTCCTTTCAAAATCATTTTTTTTTTAGGAATTTAGGAGAGAAATAAAGTTAGTTTCCAATATGGCCACGTCACAAGGACAGTCTTGTCTACACAAAGGCTATCAAATATTCGATTTTTTTTCACGATCAGCTGATTAATAAAATGTTCTTCTATTCCATCACACAAAGGAAAAGTATGTGAAATAGACTTTTTAAGGTTTCCTTTCTGGTAATTTAGATTAAATTAGTTACAGAGACGATACAGACACAAGGAAGATTCTCTTTAACAAGCCACGATAAAAATATATCCTGCCTAAACTTGCATAACATTGAACAAATGCGCGACTAAATCAGTGAGGAGAAGAAAAAAATTCTCTGTTAATTGTTTAATTTCGCACAAATGAGAACGCTACGTGTCTCTGAGACTGGGTCTTTATTCTTAGCGACTGATTTATATATGGTTTCTTTTTTTCCAAACCAAAAGTTATCTCCGGAATTTTTTCCTTCTTTTTTTTTTTTTTACGTGTATGTAAGTTTAGATAGATATGACTTACACTATTTTTGCAATTTATTTTTCTATATTTGAATTTTTCATGTGCATTGAGGCAGGGTTAGGGGAAGTCTTGCTAATTATATTAATATTAAATATTGCAATATTTTAATATAACAAGATTTTAATAAGCAAAAATTATGTCTATGTATTTTTTCTTCAGGAAGCAACGTATTCATATTTGTTAAACCTTTTATTGAGGTGATTAAAAACAGCTGTAACAAATCCACCTAAATTTTTTCAGTTGCGTCGGTCAATTTCAAACAGCGAAGAGAACGCATCATTTTCAACGAGCTTTTCTAAGTGTTACCGTATGCTTTATTCAAAACTTCTATACATTCTTGCAAGATGATTCTATATCATGTTTTCTTTCAAATATTAAAGTGCGCATTCACATCATATCCTCGATGATTTCAAGGAATTTTTTTTTCCCATTTCCTCCTTAAACTAAGAGCCCCATTAAACCCTGCATCCATGGAACTTGGTTATACCATGTTTCCAAACAGATCAATTTCCTTTTATTAAACAAAAATATTTTTAGACATAGAGCAGAAAATTTTCCTTGTTCCGTAGTTTAGCAAATTCTATTGATCTATACTATATATAAGTACACTCAATAGGTTTAGGTGATGTACAGGAAAAACTGTGTAAACGTCAGAATAAAAATAGAGTTATCTATCTTTGAACATAAGGTCTAGATTTATAAATAACTGGCTGGGAAAATAGCCTTTCTAAAAATAAGCATCATATACATTTTAGTACAGAAACGTGACAGGATATATAAATAGGTACAAGTAGTTCATTTATACTTTGTACACATGTAGAAAATTCATTTAAGAAATGAATTTAATTTTTGAAGATTCATGAGGACATGAACTACGACGCTTCACGCCGGCATATTTCATGAAGCGCGTTAGCGCTTCATGATTAATATGCCGGCGTTAAGCGTCGTAGTTCATGTACCTCATGAATCTTCAAAAATTAAATTCATTTCTTATATTTACATTATTTTCTGATGAGATACCACAAATTATGCCATTCAACTGTCATTTTTAAAGCAAAACAGTTTGCACTATAGTTTTGACGTCAAGTACGGTATTATGACGTAACAATGGAGATATTCATGCTCATCCATGGTAGTTCATGAGAAAATGAACAGCCTTCTAATTTGCAAAGAATCTTAAGGAAAAATATTTGGAAATGTAAATATTCTGCATTAAATAACATAATTTTTACAACATTTACATATAGAGATGTTAAGGTCAAGATCTAGTAAATGACTTTAGACTGTCTTTTTGGTGCTAGATCCATTATGACGTCATAAACAATTTAAACTTTCCTTTTCCCGTACTTTAAAGCTCAAATAGAATTATGAAGAAAATAAAGTATTTTCATGGCATTCAATTTGAAATCATGTGAAAAGTAATCCCGATACCTATATTCAATTTTACATTATTTTTAAGAAGAGGCTATAAGAACATACAAAGAAGATGGGTGAACATGACGAGCGAAAAGCCTATAGTGTGACAAACATGAAGGTGAAAAATTAAATCTCAATTATATCAAAATTTTCCTTGATATTTCATTTAACATTAAAATATACTTTATGTAAAATCTCTACAATTTGCAAAAGTCTCACAAAGATTGAAATTATTTGCTTATGAAATATTGTACACACACTAAAGAGGGCAAAAAGAGTCATTTTCTCATACTGTAACACCATTTTTCGATATGAGTGGGTCTTCGCTCCATTTTTTTAAAGTTAATCCTCGAAGTTTGCATAAAAATATACATTTTTGGTTTCCTAAAATATGGAGCAAAGACCCACTATACCTTAAAAATATACTTTTATGACATCATTCGCATCTTTTCGAGAAATACTTAAGTCCATTAAGTCAAGGGTCATATCACAAACATAATTTAAATGCCACTATTCATCAGATCTTGCGTAGTCTAGTCGTTAGCGTGCTAGTCTCGAAAGAAAATGATACTCAGGATTAATTTTTATTGCTAGGGTTCGAACCTCCATGAATATCACATTATTTTTTTTTTAATAAAAGAATAAATTTTCCGAGAAAATTTTTCTCAGAAAAGTTTTGTTTATCACAATTTCATACATTTCAATAATGAGATCTTTACTCTAACTACTGAATTCACAAACTGAACATGATTTTTATATATTTTTTTTTTATTTATACATAATTTCATTCACATAAAGTGAATGGGATTAGACAGCAGGCATAGCCTATTTTAGCCCTCTCCCTACAGCAAGGTCAAGGTAAATACATTGCATAACATTAATTAAACAAACATTTAAAAAATGCGAGGAAAAAAACGGGAAAAAATACAATGAAGTACCGGTTTGGAAAAATTGACAAAAGTTATATATACATTTACATGACAGTGTTCAAGTAAAACGTTTTGTTGCTGCTATATATGCATGTACTGCTTCAAAAATTTGTATATTAATATTGAGTCCATGATCAGGACTACCATATAATAATAATAATTTAAGTTCAGAAACCTGATTACAGTCAATAATATTTTGAATTCTTTGAAAAAGTATATCTCTATAAGATGTATATTTTGAACAAGCGAAAAAGTAATGATAAGCATCTTCAACAGAATCAATACAGTGTTCACACATTGGTGTTTCTGATAAACATTGGCTATATAAGTCTGCCTTTAAATTACTTGCATTGTTCCTTAACTGACAATGTATTATATTGTATTTTCTTATTCCAATATGAAATAGTTCATTACTTTTTTTTTTTTTTTTTTACAAAAATAAGAATTCAAAAGACTTTTGAATGATGATATTCCAGAAGCATTTCTAATAGGATCTGGCAAGTTATTCCATAGTTTAACTGTTGATGGAAGGAAACTTTCCATGTATGATGTAGTTCTAATATGAGGAATTTTAAATTGTGCATCTCTGGTTCTAAGATTATAGGAATGATTTGATGGGCGATAAGGCTCAATCAAATCATGCAAATATTGAGGTGAATAGCCATTTATAATTTTATAAAACAATATCAATTTATGAACCTTCCTTCTTGTTTGTAAAAGATCCCACCCTAATTCATCATACAGTTTTGAACGAGAGGAGTTACATCTTAACCCAGTGATAATTCTACCTGCTTCAACTTGAATATCTTCTAAAAGTTTTGAGTCTTTTTCAGAGCAATTGTCCCAAACAACATCGGAATATTCCAAAACAGGTCTAATAAATGCAAAATATATCTTAACAAGTGTTTTCCGCCTAACTTTATACTTGAGCATTCTGAGGATATTTAGTCTTTTTGTAGCTTTTTCATGAATTGATTGTATATGCAATGTCCACGTAGCATCTGTTTGAAAGTGTAGACCTAAGTGGGTATGAGATATATTCTGAATTACCCAGGGTATGTTTGGACCATGTTCCCCAAATTTGATAGGGGGATATATCATGTTTTTACGACTAAAGTCAACGTTAACAGTTTTGTTTGGATTAAAATCAATGATTTTTATATATTTGAAGCTATAGGCTTTCTGCACGCTATGTTCGCCCATCTCCTTACCGTTTTCTGAGTCTGATATGGAAAAAACTCCCATATTCATGACTGGCTTTCTTAATTTTTCATTGACAGTGACGGTTTACAAAATGATTTTTGTCTTGTTTTCCTACAAATTATGCCCAGATACACCTTATTTGACCGAGCTATAGTTATAAAGCATCATAAAAGGAATTTATTTCTCAAGTTTGAGAAATCTGTAGGCTCTTTTCATTTACTAGATCTTGACCTTAAATGAACCATTGATCACATTTATAAATGATACTACAAATTATGTTACATTTAAAATTGGGACATTTCATGGTTTGAAACGTCTATTCCTAAAAAAAAGCATTCCAATATTCTGCAAAATGTACCGGTATGTTTTAATGTAGTAAATAAAATGAATAAGGTGCGACTTGAATTTGGGGGTGAAATTAACATGAAATCCATAATATTTCCTTGTAATTTAGAAAGTCCAGCATTCTCTTCCGCTCTTTTGTGATCAATAATATACTGTACTTTGTTGTCTAGTCCTATTACGAGTATACATATATTACAAATATTTCAATATTTTATCTCTCTCTCTCTCTTATTCATACGGAAGCGTTTTAGGGTCACAACAGTATCTTTTTTTAATTTGTTATAACAAATTATTAATTTGTTATAACAAATTATGAATTTGTTATATCAAATTAATAATTGGTCATAACAAATTAGTAACAAATAATGATTTGTTAAAACAGATTAATAATTTGTTATAACAAATTATCAATTTGTTATAACAGATTAATAATTTTTTATAACAGATATGTAATTTCTTATAACAAATTACTAATTTGATATAACAAATTACTAAATTGTTATAACAAATTACTATTTTTGACCAAATTTGAAGATGTATACAGATCTACGGAAGCCAGATCAATCAGAAATCTTATTATAAGTTGGATTTGTGAAAACAATAAGCATAAGCTCTGCAGAGCTTTTGACCAATATGTGAATTTGGATTTAGATCTTTTAGCAGTTTAGAAAACACTTTATTTATAAAATAAGATAAGATAATATTTATTTAAAGTCGGGTAAATCAAACAAAAAACATTAGCTCTGAAGAGCTATTTTCCGACTACACAATAATATTACATATAATACAATAATACAGAATAAA